CTTGATCATTTTAGGTCATCAAATGCTAATCAAGGTGGCCAGTTGAAACATTCACATATACCTCCAACAGACAAGAGTTCTTTCTCCCACCCTGGACTTTTACATTTTTCTAGTTCCCTATAGACCTCACAATCTTGAGGATGCCTGCCGTAGATGCAGGTGAAATGTCAGGAGAGAATGCTTCTAGAACATGGCCATACATCCCGAAAAACCTACAACAGCCGTGATTCTGGCCATTAAAGCCTTCAACAATACTTCATATATATATATATATATATATATATATATATATATATATATATATATAGTTTGTTCGGAAGTTGAATTTGATTGTAAGTCAAAACAGGTACATTTTCTAAATGCAATTTCAGCCATATATATACACACACACACACACACACACACTTCTAGAACATATATATATGGCTGAAATTGCATTTAGAAAATGTACTTGTTTTGACTTACAATCAAATTCAACTTAAGAACAAACCTACAGAACCTATCTTGTTTGTAACTTGGGGACTGCCTGTCCGTGGTTTACGATACTGGTTTGGGGTTTTCAGATGCTCATAATTAACATATGTAAATGTGTCCCATGTACATAGGGGAAGACCCTAGGTATGAATAACACTATTAACAAAAATCCTTGTATGAAAGTGTTGATTCCTGTCTAGTTGTGCAGTCCTTACTTTAAAAGCACTTGCTATACTCCAAAAACTTTGGTTTTGTGGCTTCCACAAACTATGTTGGTATGCTGAGATTCTATGTGCTATTCATTGAAAAACTACAGCAAAATGTTTTTGCAGCTTAATACACTTTCCCCATGTTTTGATGGTAGAACCAATTAGGAAATGACATTTATAACACAGCCACAATAATTGTGTTCCATATTGTAGTAATATACTGTATATACTTGAGTATAAGCCTAGTTTTTCAACCCTTTTTTTAGGCAGAAAAAGTCCCCCTCAGCTTATACTCAAGTTAAGGTTATTTATTATTTTACTTATTATTATTACATTTATTATTTTACTTCGTTATTGTTATTACATATATTATTTTACTTTATTATTAATGTTATTATTACATTTCCATTATTTTACTCTATTATTATTATTATTATTATTATTAATTTATTATTTTACTCTATTATTATTGGAAGGATACATTTGCATATTTACATAGAAGAAGGTCAGAATAGTGGTTTAATCAGAGTTGGACAGTCTTATCATAAATTACAGTTTTATATACAGTAAATATTCAAAAATATTTAACCTGCTGATGCCTCATTTTATGTAATTGTATTGGTATATATTTTTATTTTGAAATTTACTAGTAGCTGCTGCATTTCCCACCTTTGGCTTATACTTGAGTCAATCCATTTTCCCAGTTTTGTGTGGTAAAGTTAGGTGCCTCAGCTTACATTCGGGTCGGCTTATACTCGCGTATCTACGGTAAGTAATATCTAAAAAGCCAGGGATGACAAATGTAGATACGGGTGTTCCAGGTTTGTTCTGTTCCCTTCCTCAGCCATGTCTCCCATTCGGGGTTTATTTTTACACTCGCCTCTTGGCAGAAGATAAAATAGCTGGTGACATTCCCAGTCCGTTGAACTGCCCTGTCGTCACTTGATAGAAAGCCCCAGCTGTGCATAAAGGCACCCACGATGTATCTCTTTAGAAGAGAAGGACCCATGGCTTCACTAAATGTATTGCCTTTATTTTAAGTATTGGACAGAATCCTGCACCAGCTGTAAAGTTCAATAGGGTTCTTGTATCCATGGATTATATATTCCAGGAATCATGTAGAAGTCATGCTGGACGATTTGGAAAATGCCTAGAAAAGACATTTTTGTAGGCTTTGCTAGATCTGGGTTGTTGTAGGTTTTTTCGGGCTATATGGCCATGGTCTAGAGGCATTCTCTCCTGACGTTTCGCCTGCATCTATGGCAAGCATCCTCAGAGGTAGTGAAACAAGTGTTTGTACATTGTAACCTGGATCCCTAGTAAGAAAAGCTAAATCTGCTCTTTCCCTACCCATCAGAAGGATATCTGGCATCAGTCCTAGACCGATATTTGAGTCCTGCTTGTTTTGGGAATCATTCCCATTTTTAGAGGCCTTCTCTCCTGACGTTTCACCTGCATCTATGGCCAGCATCCTCAGAGGTAGTGAGGTCTTGCCATAGATGCAGGGAAACGTCAGGAGAGAATGCCTCTACCATGGCCATATCGCCCGAAAAAATCTACAACAACCCAGTGATTCCGGCCATGAAAGCCTTCAACAATACTTTGCTAGATCCTCCAGTGCAACTCAATGGTAATCTTGGGCAGAAACATACCATGCTGGATCATTTAGGATTTTTTTTCCCCGTGTCAGGAGCGACTTAAGAAACTGCAAGTCGCTTCTGGTGTGAGAGAATTGGCCGTCTGCAAGGACGTTGCCCAGGGAACACCTGGATGTTTGATGTTTTACCATCCTTGTGAGAGGCTTCTCTCATGTCCCTACATGGGGAGCTGGAGCTGACAGAGGGAGCTCAACCTGCTCTCTCTGGATTTGAACCGCTGAGCACAAGGGTTTAACCCATTTCGCCACTGGGGGTTCCATATTTAGGGAATGCCTAGAGAAGATGTCACTAGATCCCCAGTCCACCTCTGTGGTCAACTTCCTGCAGAAGCATACTTTGGAGGACCTAGGAAACATCTATAGAAGATGTATTTTATCATATGCAAGTAAATAAAGCTGGGGATACTGGTCCCATGGATGTAGGGACTGTACTGTATACTTGACTAAGCAATCTGTTTTGGCTTGACCCTCCATCAGTTCCAATTACAGAGAAGTAAATCTAAGTAAGTGTTCTGTATTTGTGAGGATCCTTAGCCAGAAAGTGTCAGGGGATTCTGGGGTTTGTAGTGCAGGGTGGCTCTATTGCTCTATTGTTGAGAGTCCCAAGCCTTGAACTCTGAATCCCAGAATTGCATAGGACGACATGGTGGTTAGAATAAAATCGCAAGGCTTTAAACAGTGAAGGGCCCCAGAATCGAAGCAAAAGATGCCGGGAATCCGAGTTCACCGGAGCATTGCCCTTTCTCCCTCTTTCTCCCTTGGCAGCTCATAGACCGGGCCACCAACCCTCCAGATGAGGACGACATCAAGGCCAAGCAGAAGTCCCTGGAGGAGAGCTGGGAGGAGCTGACCTTGATCAAATCGGTCTCCAAGGCACAGCGGACAGACCTCGACGAGCCCCTGCTGACCCCCGTCTTGGATGTGACCCCAAAAGGTCAGGACCCCGAACCCTGCCTCTTTCTCCTTTGACATCTAGGCTCAAGGTGTTCCTTTTCGACACCATAAGATCTAGCCACGCAATACACAGGCCTTGTTGGGGAATGGGAATTCTCTGACACTGTCTAGGTTTCAGTGCATCAAGTGACCTACTTATAAATACCAAGACCCTTATAACTGCAGGGCCCATATTCACATTTTTACTTACTCAGACCCAGCATATCATTAAGTTGCGTTGGAGGACCTAGAACAGGCATGGGCAAACTTTGGCCTTTCAGGTATTTTGGACTTTCCCCCAGTTTAAGGGGGAAAAGGAAAGGGCCTGAGGCTCTTAGGAATTGTGGGAGTTGAAGTCCAAAATACCTGGAGAGCCCAAGTTTATCCATGCCTGACCTAGAATTAAACTGGAAGACCTAGAATGATATCCTAGCAAGGAACTGGCTCGGTCTTCCATGCGATTCTATGCTAGGCTTCCCCTGGAGCTTGCCATATGATTGCATTGGAAGACTTCTAAAAAAAATTGAGAAGATACCATTCTAGATCCTCCAATATCATTCTAGGTCCTCCAACAATGGTATGCTGGGATCAGGAGGGTGCTAATTTAACGATGTTCAGTCATATCCATCATTGCAAGTAACAGACTATGGGGCACCATATTCTACTTCTCCAACTTCAAATATGCTCGGTCCTCTGATATTATTCTAGGTCCTCCAACAATAGTATGCTGGGACCAGGAGGGAGCTAATTTCATGATGTTCAGTCATATCCATCATTTCAAGTAACAGACTATAGGGTGTCATATCCTTCTCCAACCTCAAATAGGCATTCTAGGTCCTCCAATGTCATTTTGAGTCCTCCAGTGCAACCTAATAGTATGCAGGGACCAGGAGGGAGCTAATTTGATGGTGTTTAGTCATATCAATGAGTTTTGAGTAACTACGGTCCAGCCAGTAATGGATATGCAGCACCTTATAGTACTTCCACAACCTCAGATAGGACTTTTCATGGTTTTCTCCTCCTCTGCAGAACCTGGTGGCTGCCGCCTGTCCCTGGAGGCTCCCCCTGCAGTGGGATCAAGGCCTTTGTTGTGTCTCACACTTCAGGAGAAACTTCTCTCTTTCTACAAAGACCGTGTCTCCATCTCTGAAGCCGAAAAGGTTCTGGGGAAACAGTTGGCGGAAGACATCAGCACCGAGCTGCAGAACTTCCTAAAAAACAAGTCTCCGGACCTTCCCTTTGGAAGCGTGTTCCTGAGCGGCTGCCTTTGTGACGGGCTGGTCAGCCGCAACCGCTTGGAGGTCTCATTGATGCTCCCTTTAGTTCTGGAGCCCAGTCTTTGGAGCCTGGTTCCAGGAGAGCAGACGGTGGTGAACGACCCTCGGTTTGGGATGGTTAAACGGACTGGTCTGGAGTACTTCCCACGTGGAAACAGCCCCTGGGACAGATTCATGGTCGGTGGGTATCTCTCATCCAATGTGGTCAACGACGCCCTCCTTAAAATCTTGGTGGCCTCCATCAACTGGCCAGTGATCGGCAGCATGTTGGAATGTGCCATTCGGCCTTCAATGGCTCCCAAGGAGCTCAAACTCGAGGTGTCGCATGAACACGTCCATCTGGATGTAACTCTTTGCCCAACAGTCAAGGCTGGGGATCAAACCTTTGTCTCCACAAGCTTAGAAGAACCTGGAGAGAACCTCTGGGAACAGAGCTTCTATAAGGCAGAGGTTTCCAAGCTTAAAGACCTGGATGCCTGTGATTCCGGTGTCCGGCACTGTTGCCTCAATGTCCTGAAGGCCATCTTGGAAGACCATCCCTTCTGGAGCAAAGTGGGCACCAGTCCCTTGACTCACATCATCCTCCATCTGAGCCAGACTGAATCGGACTGGTCTGAAGCCATGTTGGCCGACAGGTTTCGGGACGTCCTGGAGGAGCTGGTCCAATGCTTGGCGAAGGGCTTTCTCCCATGCTTTTTTGACAACAAAGTGAACCTTCTCAGCCATCTTCTCCCGGAAGAGGTTGAAGAGATTGGGTGCACCCTCTATGAGGCCTTGGCTGAGCCAGATCTGGCCACCGCATTCAATTTATAAATGAATGACCTGCAACGATGACACTCTGGGATGACAGCACTGTGGGAATCCGGTGGCATGGACAATGCCCTTCTGTTGATTTCCCCTAACAGCATTTTTGCACCTAATGAAATGTATTAATTCTGAAGATGTTAAATGGACCTAGGTTGTGAAGAACTTATTTCTAAACTCTCTGAAATCAGCTTAGTATTGTGACTCCTGTATCGCTGTTTCCTGTTCTTTTTCTCTATAGAAACAGCCATCCAAATAGGAAAAGGCTAAGGTTATCAGGTGGTTGTGAGTTTTCCAGGCTGTCTGGCCATGTTCCGGAAGCATTCTCTCCTGACGTTTCACCTGCATCTATGGCAGGCATCCTCAGAGGTTGTGAGGGTGGCTGCCACAGATGCAGGCAAAATGTCAGAAGAGAATGATTCTGGAACATGGCCATACAGCCCGGAAAACACAACAACCCAGAGATTCTGGCCATGAAAGTCTTCGACAATACAGTTATGTTGAAGAAAAACCCCAAAAAGAGGTAGCATTATGGGCATTTCAACCTGGTTCTCCTTCCACTGTGTAAACAAAGCTTCAATTTGCAGTCCTCAAAAATGAAGATAGATCTCTATCTCAGTCTGTGACCTTATAGATATCGCAGGGGATCAACTTCCAGAGGTCAGGGATTCCGGGAGTAGGCATCCAATGTATCTTTGGAGGCTGAAACGCTGAAATCTAACTGTCTTCGCCTCCCTTTTTCTCATTTGTAACTATCAGGGGCATATCTGCTTTCATGCCCATTTGGGGTGGGAAAATGCACAGATTTCGGTACAAATTCCACTGTTTCTGTGTTTGTTTTTAAATCCCCATTAAGCCTGGGTATTCTAGACCAAGCAGCCCTGCGACCTGAGGATACAAGTCATGCATATCAGATACTAGATGCAAACATTGCCCAGCTTTAGTTCAGGAAACGGTCCAATTTTGCACAGGGCGAACCTCTTCTCTACCTCAGGGGTCTGAAATTTCAATTCTTTATCCATTTTATCCTCATTGAGAGCAATGGGAATGTTAGTCAAGTGCCAAAAGGGAGGCTTGATGTTGGGTTGTTTGTGGAAATGAGAGGAATGGGAAGATAAAAATAATTTTCGATTGTTCCTTGAAGTCCAGATTGGTGTTGCAAAGCCAACTGTCTTTGAACACTGTCTCAGCCTCCCTCTGAATCTTAGCCGAGAAGTTACCCGTTTCTTTGTTGAGTATTAGCTGTACATACAAATGATGTCCATCCCTTGCTGCTCTTTAAAGTTGCTGCAATAGATAACAAATCAGGAGAAATGCTCTTCTCTTTAGACTCTCACTTGGAACTCGTGATCTTTGAGCAGCTGATTCAGATATATTTTGCACAATGTCTCCCTTTTCTGTATCGATCGGTTTCCAGAAGCAAAGCTTACCCCGTAACGATCTTTTCCTTATATTTCCTCTGAGCTTTTAATACAAAATCCAGGAGCAACTGGGCTAGAAGTATCCTTTACTACGATTTAAAAAATATTAAGTTGCCGATGTAGTGAAGTTGCTCGTCTAGAGAAAATAAATCAGCCATATAAACAATGGCAACTTTAAGGTAAGCTTTTATAAGTGAAGGGATTACACCAGGCATGGGCAAACTTCGGCCCTCCGGGTGTTTTGGACTTCAACTTCCACAATTCCTAACAGCCTACCGGCTGTTAGGAATTGTGGGAGTTGAAGTCCAAAACACCCGGAGGGCCCAAGTTTGCCCATGCTCGGGTGACACTATAGCCTCTCAGATGTTTGTGACTCTAGCTCCTATGCATATGATGAAGAATGATGGGAATTGCAGTAGAAGCAATGTCGGCGGGGGTGTGAATATAGTCGTTCCACATCCCTGTATTTTTAATCCTATTTAGCAATAAAGGGATCATGTTGCCAAAATCGTGCAAATGAATTGCTTTTGGGAACCAAATCAGTGGATGCTGGAGGCTTCTGGTGGATGTAACTTTTCTGAGAAGGATGGCATTAATGGGGGAAAAAACTGGTGCATTTTGGTTCCCTTAATTACGAAGATTGATGTTGGAAATGTGGATGAAAAATAAAGAAAAACAACATTCTGTTTGGAAGTCAATTTGTGTTTTGGAATCATCCTCAAGGGCCAGATGTGGTTTTCAAAGGAAAATTAAACCGAACCTTTCAACAGGAATAAGAAGGGTAAACAAATAGTTGATTCTGAATAGGGAAAACCAACGGAAAAACTGGGTGGTTAAACATTTGACTTCTTGCTTGAAATTAAAGGCCTGGGAAAGAATCACAAAATGCATTTACCCAAGTCTTAATGGGCTATGACACCCATCAGCCCCTTGCCGTAAACACAGCTAATTTGGGGTTTTTTCGGGCTATATGGCCATGGTCTAGAGGCATTCTCTCCTGACGTTTCGCCTGCATCTTGGCATAGATGCAGGCGAAACGTCAGGAGAAATGCCTCTAGAACATGGCCCTATAGCCCGGAAAAAACCCACAAGAACCTAGTGATTCCAGCCATGAAAGTCTTCGACAATACAGCTATGGCTTTCTATACAGCAGGCATGGGCAAGCTTTTTAACTTGGGGTGCGAGTGGGGTGGGTGGGTCAGGAGAATATATCCGAAGCTGTCCCCAAGTCCTCTCCCTGCCCCCAAGTCCTCTCCCTGCCCTTTCCACCCCTTCCTCTTCTTTCAGAGGCAGAAAGTGAAGGAAAGATGGGACATGTTTGGATCCCAAAAGGGTTGGTCTTGGTCAGGATGAGATAGTGGATGGCGGAGAAAAAGTGTATCCATAAGACCCTGTATTACCTATTCCTGATACAGGATCCTAGAGTTGGAAGAGACCTCTAAAGGCCATCCAGTCCAACCCCCTAGCATGCAGGGAGGCACAATCAAAGCACTCCCAATAGACAGCCTCTGCAGAAAAGCCTCCGGAGAAGAACACACTACACAATTCAAGAGAGATATTGACAAGCTGGAATGTGTCCAGAGAAGGGCAACTAAAATGATCAAGGGTCTGGAGAACAAGCCCTATGAGGAGCGGCTTAAGGAGCTGGGCATGTTTAGCCTGAAGAAGAGAAGGCTGAGAGGAGACATGATAGCCATGTATAAATATGTGAGAGGAAGCCACAGGGAGGAGGGAGCAAGCTTGTTTTCTGCTTCCTTGGAGACTAGGGGAACAATGGCTTCAAACTACAAGAGAGGAGATTCCATCTGAACATTAGGAAGAACTTCCTGACTGTGATAGCCGTTCAGCAGTGGAACTCTCTGCCCCGGAGTGTGGTGGAGGCTCCTTCTTTGGAAGCTTTTAAGCAGAGGCTGGATGGCCATTTGTCAGGGGTGATTTGAATGCAATATTCCTGCTTCTTGGCAGGGGGTTGGACTGGATGGCCCATGAGGTCTCTTCCAACTCTTTGGTTCTATGATTCTATGTCACTCTCCAACAGCTCTTACTCTCCAGGAAGTTCTTCTGAATCTTTTCAGTCGAGACTCTTTCCTGCCATTTGAACCCATTGGTCTCTTGAGCAGCAGAAAGTCAGTTTTTCCCCTCCTCCTCAATGGGACACCTTTCAAATCTTGAAACATGCTTCTCATGTTCCCTGCCTTCTCTTTTCCCAGCTAAACATCCCTCAGGAGGAAAAGAAGAAGGAAAAAGAGAAGGAAGAAAGAGAAGGATAGAAGGGAATGGAGGGAGGGAATAGAGGAAAGAGAGAAGGAAAGAGAGACATAAAGGAATGAAGGAGTGAGGGAAGCAGGGAGGAAAGGGGGAAGGAAGGAAATAAAGAAGGAAGGAAGGAAGAGGGAAGGAGGAAAGAAAGAAGGAAGGAAAGAAGGAGGGAGGAAGGGGGAAGAAGGAAAAAAAGGGAAGGAAGAAGAGGGAGGAAGAGGAAAGGGGAAGGAAGGAAATAAAAAGGGAAGGAAGGAAAGGGAAGGAAGGAGGAAAGGGGAAGGTAAGGAAATAAAAGGGAAGGAGGGAGGAAAGAGAGAAGGAAGAAAGGAGGAAGAAAGGGAGGGAAGGAGGAGAAAGAGGGAAGGAAGGAAAAAAAAGGAAGGAAGGAAGGAAGGAAGAGGAAGGAAGAGAAAGAAGGGAAGGGAAGAGGGAGGAAAGAGAAGGAAGGAAATACAAAAGGGAAGGAAGGAAGGGAAGGAGAGAGGAAAGAGGAAGGAAATACAAAAGGAAGGGAGAGGAGGAAGGAGAAGGAAGGAGGGAGGAAAGAGGGAAGGAAGGAAACAAAAGGGAAGGAGAAAGGGGGAAGGGGGAGGAAAGAGGGAAGGAGAGGAAGGGGGAAGGAAGAAATAAAGGGAAGGAGGAAGGGAAGGAGGGAGAAAGAGGGAAGGAAAAGGAAAAGGGGAGGGAGGAGGGAGGGAGGAGAAAGAGAGAGGGAAGGAAGAGAAGAGGGAAGGAAGGAAGGAAAGAAGGATAGAACCGTGAGAGAGAGGAGGGCCTGAAAACAGAGCCCAAGGGGCTGCATCCATCCCCAGGCCTGGGTTTGCCCATACGTTCTATACAGCCTCAAATGGAACTTTGTAACTTGACAGAGCTATGAAGAAGGAACCCTTGAATGAAAGTAGAGTAAACGTTGAACCTATATTTAGAGTTTCACTTATCCATACTTGAAGGAAGAATGATCTTTCTAAGAATTTTCTGCGCCTTCCAGGACGAGTCTATGGTATACTTCCCTAGAAGTTACCATATAGTGCTGAGGAACCTAACAAATTCCATTTCTAGGTCCTTCGGCACAACTTTATGGTATATTGAGACGGGAAGGTAGATAACAATCGTGTTTGGTCACATCCAGTCTGGCTAGGAAGATTTCCCCTTTGGATAATCTCATGGTTTCCCATGTACACATGGCATGACTTCTCCTTCCCTATGGAAGACTCTCACTAACCTGAGGCCAAAGGCGGCCACAGCTTTGACCCACACGGAAGTCCAGCTAAAAAAATATTTTAATCTTAAAAGGGCAAATACATTACCTAAATTGCTTAGGTACTAGGCAGCAGCAGCAGCGTCCTGAAGTCAAAAGGATATGGCCACAATCCTATTTAAAGTGAGGTTAAACTGAGTAAATCCTAGGTATCAAAATATTCCTCCTCTTGTAGGAAAAGCAGCTGTTGTTAAGAGCGAAGTAAGTTGTGTCCAGGAGAAGAGATACAGGAAAGGGGGAGTACAGCTCAG